TCTGACTGAATAAGAATATTTACATTCTTATTAAGTGGAAGAAAATAGCATCTGATGCCATTCATTTAAAATACTGCTTTTACAACCATAATGGGAACAGCATCTGATGCCATTCATTTAAAATACTGCTTTTACAACCATAATGGGAACAGTATAATCACAGATCACTTCTTAATACAAAAAAGCGTATCATCATCACTTGAACCAATAACAGAATTCCCTTTGTTTACCATTTGGAGAGGGAAGCTTTAATAATCTTAAAAGATCATGATGAATGTTAAGTGAAAATCCATCAGAGTGAAATTTTTGGCACTGGTCATACTTAAAGTTTTGAGAAATTTTGAATACATTGTCAAAAAATCAATGTCTTAGCTTCCTGTTTATATATTTCCAGTGATTATTTCAGAACAGGAATTTTGAAATCTAACTAAAATTTTATATGTCTTCTTAGTAGTTGCATACAAAACAAAACTTTCTGACCCAGAGAGCTATTTCTTAGAGTCAGCCTGTCAGGATGCAGTTGATATGTTTATAAAAGGAAGGGTGTTGGTCAACCAGAGGTGGGAATCTGTTGCTTTATAAATGGCTTTGAAGTGCAATAGTGTTCTGGTTCAGTTGGCCCCCTGTGAAGAATTTCTTTGTGGCAGTATTAGATACACTAATTTGATCTCATTTATTTTTGCAGGAAATTCCAATGAACTTTGTGGATCCCAAAGAAATTGACATTCCACGCCATGGAACTAAAAATCGCTATAAGACCATTTTGCCTAGTAAGTGTCTTGAATTAAATAGTTTATATTAGAAAATGCAAGTCTTCTCCCTACCTATTTCCCAATATCATGACTTGCAGATATACACAAAATTTGGAGCTACAAGCACATAACAAGACTAATAATCATTCAAATAACCTGAGGTCAGTAACTCTATTTTGAAAACATTATAATGATCAGCTGACAATTCTAGTTCTGAAAGAGTATGGTGACACACATTATGGCCAATGGATTTTTGTCAAGTATGTCAACAATTCAATGGGAAAATGATAGACTTTTTCATAGAAGTCACTGAGACAGCAGGCCACAAAATGAAACTGGACTCTGCTTCATTCCACATACAAAAATTAGTTCAAAATGGATCAAAGACTTAACTGTAAGAGAGGAAGCTATGCAGCCCTTAGTATGAAACATGTAAAATCTTCATGACTTTGAATTAATTATTTCTTAGAAATGCCACCAAAAGTGCAAGTAACAAAAGAAAAAAAAATAGCTAAATTGGACTTCATTAAAATTAAAAAGTGTTATCCCTGAAAGGACACCATCATGAAATAGAAAGTCAACACCACAATGCCAACATTTTTGTAAAGGGATTTATTGTATCTTTTTTTTTTTAAGATTTATTTATTTATTTGTACAGAACTGGGGTATAGGCCAGAGATGCGGAGGGTGAGAGGACCCACCAAAGACAGAGCAGGGAGCAGAAGAGGCAGATCGACGAAGTACACTGCTGAGGGGAGCAGCGGGCGGTCAGGAGAGGTCTGCCTTTCTGTGTGGACCTCCTCCAGGGCAGGCAGGATCGGACTCATGCAGAAGTGGCTTTAGCTTCTGAGTGCTGTGCTTGAACCCTCTGCGCCACCAGGGAGGATTTATATATCTTAAATATATAAAGAATGTGTATAGTTAACAATATAAAGACAAATAACCTAATTTTTAAAATGGGCGAAGGACTCAAATACTTTGGGGAGGAAGTAACATTGCCAATTATTAAACAAACCAATATAGGTTTTTGGAAAAATCCATAAGCATCTCAAGGCAATAGCTATAAGAGTCACAATTTTACATCTTTTTGATCCCTGAGTAATATTCCATTGTGTATATGTACCACATCTTCTTGATCCAGTCATCTATTTTTGGGCATTTGGGTTGATTCCACATCTTCCCTATTGTATATAGTGCAGCAATAAACATAGGGTACAGGTGTCTTTATAAATTAATGTTTTTGTGTCTTTTGGGTAGATACCTAGGAGTGGAATTGCTGGATCATGTGGAAGCTCCATTTTTAGCAGTTTGAGAAGCCTCCAAACAGGGTTTTTTTTTTAATATGTGCCATTCTCACTGGTATGAGATAGCATCTCATTAATTTTTTCAACTATTCACTGAAATAGTGAAGTCTTCACAATTCAGTCCATTAATTCCTTAATAAAACAGCAAATATTTCCTATTTATGATAATATTAAGAATTACTGTTAATTCAGACTTCCTTTTCTAGTGCTGTGGAAATATATCATTAAAACTCACTAACACATATTTTCAATTAGTTGAGTCTCTTTACCGAGGATTTTAAAAAATTGAATTTTTTTTTAATTTTTTTTAAAGATTTATTTATTTATTTGTGCATACAGAACTGGGGTACAGGTCAGAGGCTCAGGGGCGGTGAGAGGCTTCACCAGAGACAGAGTGGGGAGCAGAACAGGCAGATTGACGAAGCACACTGCTGAGGGAAGCAGCGGGCGGGTCCGGAGAGGTCTGGCTCGCCATGTGGTCTCCTCCGGGGCAGGCGGCAGGCGGGGATCGAACTCATGCGGAAGTGGCTTCAGATTCTCAGTGCTGTGCTTTAACCCGCTGCGCCACCAGGGAGGGCCAAAAAAAATTGAATTTTTTATAGCCATAACTTCTTTCTCTTTCTCTCTCTCTGTTAAGGTTTCTCAACTAAAATTTACAAAGCATAATATAATAATGTCTTATAGATCCATTACAATTATCATATTTACACATGCAATCTCAGAAGGATTTGGAAATCACTAGGATTATTTAAAAGTTTAGTTTTTTCTATTTCCTGCCCAGATGATGTCAGACAACCACTTCATAGCCCTGTGTCAGCTTTTCCATTCCCAGAACTGGGTGGATCACTTGAACCAGGGCACCTGTGCTGACAACCAATGTTGGAAATGATGGATTTTCTATTGAAAATGTCTATGTCCTGAATACCCCACCCACACTCTGTTGTATAAAATATAATTTTGTAAATATAGCCTGAGCAAGCTAATTGAAAAAATCATCAGAAATGCTGGAATGAATGTGTGAAGCTGTTCCTTATGGTTTATTTTAGACTATAATATAATATGAATTAATTATAAAAAGTAATGAGCAAATAATTAATAATTAAGTGTTGTGATTTTTTTGTTGTTGTTTTAGCCTACAATAAGCTTTAAATTTAAAAGCTTGCCAGCTTGTACACATTGGAAAGTCACTTAATTTTTAGGGTATTTAGCAGTAGAAATATGGATGGCCTAGAACCAATTATAGCTGGTTTTCTAATGACAGTGTTAGTCTGGCTCAGCACACTCTCAGTGACAGATTAAAGGTCTAACTAAGTTCAAATTTACATCAAATTATTTTGAAATATGTAAACAGATAGTGGATATGAAACTGTCTCTATGTCCTAAATTAAACCCTGGGGGGAAAAACAACCATATATAATACGAAATGATTTGTATAACAATGAATCATAGCTATGAGATAGATGTTTTATGTATATTTCCATGAGGTCAACTAATTGATATAAATATAAAATAAAATGTAAGAGCCCTGTTTGCTCTGGCCATCATCTTATATTTTAAAATGTTATGTTATCATGTTTATATTTTACTTCCTATTTTATTAGAGTGTCTGGAACAAAGTAGTTATGCAAATAAGTAAATTACTCATTAAGGCAAAAAGTTGTGCGGCTAAAGTAAAGTATTCATAAGCCCTGTTTTTCCTAATAAGTTTTACATGGTTCTTAAAAAATTGAGATTTTAAAGAAGCACCATCCTTTGCCAAGATCAGAGCTCTCGACTAAAATGCTCTGCAATGAAGGAAATAAGCTCTATCTTCAGTATGCTAACTGCTAGTTTCAAGTGGCAACTGAGCATTTGAAGTATAGCTAATAAGCTCAAAGCATTGATTTTAAAATTTTATCTTAATTCACTTAGGTTTAATAAGCTATTTCTGGTTAGTGGCTATCATAGCGAAAAATGTATACCTTGAGTTTTCCCTCTTTCCTGCAACAAATTTGAAAGTAATTCCCAGTCACCAGACCCTGCTTTCCTTTCATGTTCCATTTATCTTGAATTCATCTCTGGAAAAAATCTTATTCCTCTCATCACTGCCTCAGGTCAGCACTCATCTGGTCACTTCTCTTGACTTCAAAACTCACAAGACTTTTTTCCCTGAAAAGAAAATTTGGGTACAAAATTTCATATGAAACCATCAAAATATCAAAATGTAGGTAACGTTTCTTCAGTTAAATAGAAGACTTAAGATTGCCAGAAGGTATTTTTAAAGAGACCAAAATAGGGAAATTTCATGTGTTCTAGTCACCAAATCTATATGTGTGAGATAAGTATACTGAGAGAGAAAAAGAAGGAAAAGGAGGAATAGAGAGAAGGGAAGGAACAAAAGGAAAGTAGGGAGGGGATAGGAAGTGTAAAAGAAAAGAAAATGAAAAGAGAAGAGAATAAGGAAAAGTAATCAATACTCATTTAACATTTGTAACTGGAATGGGCATTGTCCATATGCATCATAAATATTATCAAAATGTTTAGCATAGCCCAGAACATCTGTTCTAAAAAAAAATTATAGTGATTTTGACTAAAATATAGAGTGAAAGGCATAGCAAATAAAATTATAAGAGTAGAGAGGAAAGTAATCACATTAAAAGAATAATAGGGAAGCTTTTCTATATTTGGTTTTTTAATTACAAACTCACTTCAAAAGGGTTTTTGGTTGGAGCCTACATTTCCTCTACTTGGTGATATGTTGTATTCTTGTTTTGGGGAAAAAATTATGTATAAACCTCTATATTCTTGAGAATACCATAAATCACCAATCTCTAACATAAACTTAATTTAGACAGCTAATCTGCTTCTAAGTTTACACTGTCAACTTCCCAAGAAAGTTGGGAATCATGTCTATCATAAGCATTATTTTAAAAAAAAAAAAAACAGGCCCTCCCTGGTGGCGCAGCGGGTTAAAGCACTGCACTACGAAGCTTAAGCCACTTCCTCATGAGTTCGATTCCCGCCTGCCCCGGAGGTGACCACATGGCCTGGCAGACCTCTCCTGACCCGCCCGCTGCTCCCCTCAGCAGTGTACTTCGTCGATCTGCCTGTTCTGCTCCCCACTCTGTCTCTGGTGAATCCTCTCACCCTCCGCATCTCTGGCCTGTACCCCAGTTCTATATGAATAAATAAATAAATCTTTAAAAAAAAAAACTGTGGGACTCTTATGAAGTCTTATTGGTTGAGGGCATTTATAGAATCTTCTAGCAAATAGCAGGTAGCAAAAAACAATAAAAGTTTCCCCAATGCTTTGCTAAGAAAAAGAAAAATAATTAAGAAAATCAAAATCAATTTTTTGTTATAGAAATTACTTCTGATATTAAACTCTGTTAGCCACCCACCAAACAGAAATCACACATGATAGAAAAGTTCATTAAATACAGTTCATTTTAAAAAGTTCATCCAATCCTTGCCCTCAAGGGTCTAACAACAACCATTGAGGGCAGGCAAAAGTTCAAGCGCTTAGAATATGAGATGGTAAGGGAAAACTAAAGTTCAGGGAGCCCAAGCAAAGAAAGGAATGTCTAATTTGCCTGCAGACACCGGAGGACTTCAGAAAGAGGCATTTCTTGAACTGACTCCTCAAGAAAGAGCCAGACTACACTATGTAGAGAAAACATTGGGGAATTGTAGGGTGCAAGACTCTGCAAGGTGGGTGGTGCCCATAGGAGACACGTAGCTCTCAGCATACACACTTGTGTGTGTTGGGACTGTACATGCTATTGTTGCTCCAGACAATACCAAGGAAAATGAGCTTGCTGGGCAGGAAGCTTGAAGGCAGGACATAGCCAATGTTTCCCAGCCAGAGCCCACGAATTCTGGCTTTGGAGGAGTGTCCATTGAGTGCACTTTATTCCAATAGGGCTTCTTATTTTGCTCACACATGTTTCAAGTTCTGCAGAGTTCTGATTCCAAGTATTTGACAAGAGATCTACAATAGAAGAATTGCACTCTGCAAGTCAAAATATAAACCACAGGGCTCAAGTCTCCATGGGAGGGAAAAAACAAGGGGAAAAAATGGCTTTTAGAAGTCACAATATTATGAAGGGCACGGTAAATAGACCTGACAGGTTTTACCAGTAGGAACAGTTTGATTTGGGAAGGGGGGGAGTCTTGTAAACTTACATAACTTGGGAGGAGTGCTCTTTTTAAAAAATATATACAACATTATGAATATATAATGAAGCACTCCTTAGGTACATCATGAGTACAGAGTCAAGATATTGATTGGCAATGGTCAGTGCAAGTAAAAGCGACCCTGCTAACAGTTCTAGGAAGTGGGGAACTGTCATAACTCTACAGGGCTTGGGAGGCAATGAAGTGCTTTTGAACGTCTGATGTCAGCTCACACTTCCAGAGGATCTGCATAGTGAGGGCTCCATGTGCTGAGACTGACCTTGGACACCTATTCAGCAGTCCAGTCTCTGCTTTAAAGAAGGTCTTTTGCTTCAGGACCACTTGCTCAAACATACCTCTTCCTGGGAATACTGATTAAGAGCTCAAATCCCAAGTTCCAAGAGAGTCCAGTGTTGCTGAGTCCAGGGCCACAACTCCTCCTTCAGATGGAATCTATGTCTTAAACAATCCCCACCTCTTCCACCCTAACTACCTCTTGTTACCTGGGTGGACTTAAGTGAATTACTTAGCCTCTCTGCATTTACATTTCCTAACAAAGAGACTATTACCTCTGCGGAAATATAATGATTTTGCTTACATGTAACTTTAACATGCTCAGCTGTTTATTTCCTACACATAGGAAGCCCCTAATGAAAGGGATGATGATGGTGTCAGTCGAGTGTTTTGTGTCACTTTCTGTCAGAGTGAGACTTAGTTGGGTGACTCTGAAAAATTTTTTTTTAATATTTATTTATTCATATAGAACTGGGATACAGGCCAGAGAT